GTAGTAATTCCCTCACAGTTGGTGTTACAGGGGCAGTATAACTCACAGATGTGTTATGAGGGGCCTGATGTGGTGTAGTAATTCCCTCACAGATGGTGTTATGAGGGGCCTGATGTGGTGTAGTAATTCCCTCACAGATGGTGTTATGAGGGGCCTGATGTGGTGTAGTAATTCCCTCACAGATGGTGTTATGAGGGGCCTGATGTGGTGTAATAATTCCCTCACAGATGGGGTGTTATGAGGGGCATCATGGCGTAATTCCCTCACAGATGGTGTTATGAGGGGCATGATGTGGTGTAGTAATTCCCTCACAGATGGTGTTATGAGGGGCCTGATGTGGTGTAGTAATTCCCTCACAGATGGTGTTACGAGGGGCCTGATGTAGTAATTCCCTCACAGATGGTGTTATGAGGGGCATCACGTGGTGTAGTAACTCCCTCACAGATGGTGTTATGAGGGGCCTGACGTGGTGTAGTAATTCCCTCACAGATGGTGTTACGAGGGGCCTGATGTAGTAATTCCCTCACAGATGGTGTTATGAGGGGCCTGATGTGGTGTAGTAATTCCCTCACAGTTGGTGTATGATGGGCCTGATGTGGTGTAATAATTCCCTCACAGATGGTGTTATGAGGGGCATCACATGGCGTAGTAATTCCCTCACAGATTGTGTTATGAGGGGCATCACGTGGTGTAGTAATTCCCTCACAGATGGTGTTATGAGGAACTTCACATGATGCTGCAGCAACTCATTCACTACGTGGTGTCGTAGCATCATGGGGACACCACGTGGTCTGCTGTCACAGGACTTCACTCACTCAAGTGGGTGAGGTGTGGTCCCAGGCCTCTCTATCGTGGAGTCTCAGGGGAATTATCACTGGGTACCTGGGACCTCACTGTGTGAAGGTTACCCTGGGTAAGACTCCACTGCAACTGCCGAGTTGTTTTTCACTGACTTAAGCACTGTTCACCACTATTCAACACTGGTTCCATTCCTTTCCCAAATGAAATAGTAACTTCTGGCTAGAACTTGTTGATATTCCGATGGGGAGGAGGGTTCAGGGGAGGGGGTTGGTATGGGCCAACATACTGTAATAGTTGACGTGGCTGCTGCTGAGCAGCGCCAGGTGCGTCTGACCCGTCTTGACCCGTCGGTGGTCAAGGATGAAGTGTGTGTGTGTGTGTGTGCTTGTTGAGTGTGAGATGGAGTGTGTGTGTGTGCTTGTTGAGTGTGAGATGGAGTGTGTGTGTGTGTGTGCTTCTTGAGTGTGAGATTGAGTGTGTGTGTGTGCTTCTTGAGTGTGAGATTGAGTGTGTGTGTGTGTGCTTGTTGAGTGTGAGAAGGCGGGTGTGTGCTTGTTGAGTGTAAGATGGTGTGTGTGTTTCTTGAGTGTGAGATGGGTGTGTGTGTGTGTGTTGTTGAGTGTGAGATGGAGTGTGTGTGTGCTTGTTGAGTGTGAGATGGGTGTGTGTGTGTGTGTGTGTTGTTGAGTGTGAGATGAAGTGTGTGTGTGCTTGTTGAGTGTGAGATGGAGTGTGTGTGTGTGTGTGCTTGTTGAGTGTGAGATGGCGGGTGTGTGCTTGTTGAGTGAGAGATTAAGTGTGTGTGTGTGTGTGCGCGCGCGCTTGTTGAGTGTGATTATCAGGACTGTTAGGTTGTTGGCTGATGTGAAGTGGGGAATTATCATTATTTTTATGGTGACGATAAAGGTATTTATTTTATATATATATATATATATATATATATATATATATATATATATATATATATATATATATATATATATATATATATACAAGTAAATCACTGTAGGTGCGCGTGATCTAGGTATATGCTGATAACCACAAGGAAAGAAGAAAACACGAAGTTCCCAAGCGCTTTCGTGTAATTCACATCTTCAGGGGTGAGTACAGACTATTTTTTTTTTGTCTCGTGTCTTATCACCTTGATCTTACTTCTGAGCTGAGCGTGAATGTACTGTAAACATTCATAGGAAGAAAAATGTATCGTTATGGGAGATTGTCAGTGTGTTGGTTTGCCTATTTTTTGCCATAATATCGTTGGTTGAGTAAGAGTTATCATATCGTGAAAATAAAACTACAATACATACCCCGGCAGTGTCCATTCCTGGCTACACTGATCTGGGTAGGTTTGCCGTTTGCTAACAGGTTCTCTAAGGTTCTCAAGTTGCTGTTTTTGTTTTATGCCAAAGGTGAAACGTTCATTGATTCCAGCTGGTGTTTGTTTGTTCCCATCTCCGCTTAGTAATACATTTTTTACACTTTAATGACTTCTCAACACCTTAGTATTTTTATTTCTAGCTGTCACATATGGTTCTGTAGTTTAAACTTAACAATTAAACTGTATAAGTTTTTCACGAAGCAAACACTATGTACCTAACAGTTTAAGCCACTCCCACCCCCCTCCTACATGGTCCTTCCCAGGGCTCACACACACACTCGTCTTCCTAGTGCTACAAGGATGCGGGGTACACCATACAAGGCCAGTGCTCTTCTGTTTTCTGGTCTCTCTCTAATAATTCGACATTCTTTTATTGTTAGTGTTACGTTCACCTCTGTGTAGATGTTCGGTATTATTATGCATCTGCAAAATGGTAATGCGCGTATCTCTCACCAATATATCGAGGGTTCGAACCTCGGGCCGGACTACACGTGAGAAGGGCGTTATCCAGTGTGACCCTATCAAACATCACAGGGTCCCCGGTCCTTGGTTCCCTCCTGTACTAACACTGGATAGATCAATCGCCCGAATGGCTAGTAAGCTGATAAGCGGCGACAATTATTAAAAAATAAAACTTGGCTGTTTTATCTCTTATGTCAATATAAACGACATATTAAGATTGAATACCTCTCACGCAAATGTGAAAAACAGTGTACGGCCAGACATATTGCCTCACCCCTGAAGATGTGAATTACACGAAAGCGCTTGGGAACTTCGTGTTTTCTTCTTTTCTTGTGGTTATCAGCATATATATATATATTTTTTTTTGGGGGGGGGGCGTAGTCGCTGGCATATGGCGTCACCAAGGCCAGTAACAACTACGTCAGACAGTAATTCTCCCCCCCCCCTCCTAAAAAAAAGTGAAAATATACATCAATAAAAACGCTGAATATATAGACAGACAAACAGTCAGGCAGACACATTCCTGTACACACCATTTAAGCACCGAGGATAAACAAATTGTTAAAACATTTATTATTACAAACCGACAATCGGAGGAATGATAAAAATAAAAATAATAAAAACAAAAGTATTAATAAATAATAATTAATAATAATAATAATGATATATACTGAAAATTCTTATCATCTGAACGGACCAACTCGCCCGGTAGTCAGTATTCATTGACCCCGGGACTATTTCCTGATTGTCTGGACGTTGTTACTGGTTGAACTCTTAATATAACAGACAAGTACCCAGTCATATTCACCTATTTTGGCTTGACTAACTAAACTCACATGTGCGTTGAGTTAAATAAATGTGTCGTGATATAAATTTACTCTTGACTTCTGTAAATGTCGTAGGGAGGAAAGAATGATCGGGTAAATGTTATATCTCTACTCTGGCAATGACCTCGCGTCGACAACTTCCTGAAGGGAGAAGAATGGTGAACACAGGTTTATTATCGAGATCTTCCTTTGTGGCTTATAATTACACCAACCAGTTTAGTTTTTTTTTTGTCTCGTGTCTTATCACCTTGATCTTACTTCTGAGCTGAGCGTGAATGTACTGTAAACATTAATAGGAAGAAAAATGTATCGTTATGGGAGATTGTCAGTGTGTTGGTTTGCCTTTTTTATTTGCCATAATATCGTTGGTTGAGTAAGAGTTATCATATCGTGAAAATAAAACTACAATACATACCCCGGCAGTGTCCATTCCTGGCTACACTGATCTGGGTAGATTTGCCGTTTGCTGACAGGTTCTCTAAGGTTCTCAAGTTGCTGTTTTTGTTTTATGCCAAAGGTGAAACGTTCATTGATTCCAGCTGGTGTTTGTTTGTTCCCATCTCCGCTTAGTAATACATTTCTTACACTTCTCAACACCTTAGTATTTTTATTTCTAGCTGTCACATATGGTTCTGTAGTTTAAACTTAACAATTAAGCTGTATAAGTTTTTCACGAAGCAAACACTATGTACCTAACAGTTTAAGCCACTCCCACCCCCCTCCTACATCGTTCTTCCCAGGGCTGACACACACACTCGTCTTCCTAGTGCTACAAGGATGCGGGGTACACCATACAAGGCCAGTGCTCTTCTGTTTTCTGGTCTCTATCTAATAATTCAACATTCTTTTATTGTTAGTGTTACGTTCACCTCTGTGTAGATGTTCGGTATTATTATGCATCTGCAAAATGGTAATGCGCGTATCTCTCACCAATATATCGAGGGTTCGAACCTCGGGCCGGACTACACGTGAGAAGGGCGTTATCCAGTGTGACCCTATCAAACATCACAGGGTCCCCGGTCCTTGGTTCCCTCCTGTACTAACACTGGATAGATCAATCGCCCGAATGGTTCGTAAGCTGATAAGCGGCGACAATTATTAAAAAATAAAACTTGGCTGTTTTATCTCTTATGTCAATATAAACGACATATTAAGATTGAATACCTCTCACGCAAATGTGAAAAACAGTGTACGGCCAGACATATTGCCTCACACTGCTCTACTCACGCAGTTGCGAATAAATCGCCCTCTAGCCTCTATGTACAGAAGTAAACAAACAATGTATATGAAATTCCTGTATTGTACTCTGTAGCATTCAATGCCATATCCTGACCACGGAACGGTTATACACACCCTTTGTGACCTCGACTCTTTAATCCTTGTGTGCTACCCTCGCAGGATGGGTATGGGGTGCACAATAAACTAGTCACTAAGAGGCCAAAAAAAAGTTAAAAATTAATGGTGCAAAGTAGTAGTATTTAAGTGGATAATGAACTTGTATCAATAGTAACCTGTACTTTCACTTGTTCCAGGCAGGATGAGGGTAACGCTATCATGTTTGGTAGTGGTGGTGATGCTGATGACTCCAGCGTCCTGCCAGATCTTACAGGCACTGCTACCCCGACTGGTGGAGGACCTGCCAGCACTCTTACAGGCAATTATTACCCCACCCCGGACATCTGCCTCACCCAGGGATTCTCTCTTCCAGGCCAGGACTGGTAAGTTGTGTACACCACCTCATCACAACTTTATTTATTATAAGAGCATTATTTAAAGTCATTGGTGTCTTAAAGGCAGCAGCAGGTTCTTAGATAACACAACTCCTTCCTACTTGCAGAATAAAAGTTAAAAGTTCATAGTTGAGGATTTAACACACTCCTATTATTTGTTCGTCATTCAGTGACTGTTAACTCCTTGACCATCAATGAAGATGTGGGCATCCTTCCCCGGGAGTGTCAAGATCACCAGAGTGCAGTGTCATCCTTTTAACATTTTTGTATTTCACAACACACTGACCATGTTAAATAATTTATGCGTGACTACATCAGAAGTTTTCAGTCATACTAATTAATTCAGCAGATTACTAAGGAGATTTGCCCCTGAACGTATAGTATTCCTGAATGGTACAGAGGTGAGAAACAGTCATGGCCAGGCTTTGCAGTGGCCACGACAGGCCGCGTGTTTACCCTGGGTTGTGCCTAGTAGTGGACGCGGCCGGCTGGGTCACTGGCTGGTGAGCTCCTGCAGCATGTATGAGCAGAGGCCTAAAAAGGTGAGGCATCATCCGGGTGAGGGGGTTCCTTGGCTGGTGGGTGGATGTCGTTCACATGTTTGACGTCACCGCTCGCTGTGTGTAGAGGTCCAGAGGCATCTCCCAGGCCGCTGTGACGCCTCGTGATGTAGCACGCCACATGCGTGTTTGATGATATGAACCAAGGTATAGAGATGCTTTAGATCTTGGGTAGGGAGTGCAGCAGCCGAGTGCTTGCCTCCTTCGATCACAGTCCTAGTCCACCCATCTGTAAATAGGTACCTAACTGTTCAAGTTGGGGAACAAAAAACAGTTGAGTGCAGTGGTGACTACTGTCTCCTTGTATGCCAAAGAATTAGTACATAGTGTTCTGTAGCCACACCGTCCCTAACCGGCAGTCATGCCAACTGGACCCTCTCTCTTTCTATCAGTTTTTGTGATATAGATTTTTATTCTTCGTAGAAAGTATTGTTAACAAGCTTAAAGGATTTTGATTGAATAAACTTGCATGAGTAATAAAGAAGATTCAAAGGGAGGGGTATAGTCCTTGCTCGGATGGGTGGGAGTATATTGTTTCATAGTTTCACACTATAATATCTTTTGTAGGTCTGAAATTGAGAGGGGCGCACGGGGGAGGTGGGGGGCCATACCTTTAGTTGTGCCCCTGATTTGCTCGGAAGTGGAAGTAATCATTTTCATTCAGGTGATTTATAAACAAATATAGCACAGCCATAGCATCAGTATCGTCATGTTTTAACATCTTCGTTTATCACACTGGCCGTTTATGTGATCAGTTTTTCAAGTAGGTCATTGTCTGCACAACTCTTTTCTCTATAATGTGTGGCAATGAATCGAGTGTCGGTAAACAGGATCGCGTTAGACTACTTTCTTTGCTGGAGGAGTGATTGACAAGTGTGGTACAAGACACTGCACTGTTTATTGATTTCACTGAATTACGTGTATATGGTTTATCTAGTTTAATAGAAATGTATAAACTATAAACACCTCAGAGCACATTATTCGTGACATAATCTGCCAGAAAATGTGATGCCAAGTGTGAACTCACTTAAGACCAGACTTGGTTAACACTGGTGCAGGTTCAGATAATATATTCTGGAACCAGTGCATGCACAATCCTTGCCAATAAGAGATGTTACTGACCGTTCAAGCGGCTAGCAAGCTGATTAGTGGCCTTTGCAATCAATAATGATGAAAATATGTGAGCTGATAAGCATAGTGTCACTAAACAGACGTGGCATTTATTTTCGGTAATATCCTAATGATACATAGTTTCTTCCCTCAGATAGTTCAGGGTGGAAAGACATTACTATTGATGGTTTTATCCCTGAATATTCAGGACTTCGTTACTGCCCTTGGAGGACAGGAAGATGGTACGTATCTGTACGATATTCTCTAATTGCTGAACCACTTATTCCTAGGTAATGAAGGAGAGGTTGGTGACCGCTTCTGCTTCGGAGAATTGGGTTGCCTCGTGACGGACTCCAGTTTTTACCACGAGAGGTACCGACCCCTTAACTACCACCCGAAGTCACGAGAAGACGTCGGTGTCTACTTCTCCGTCAGCTCCCGGGAAGACCTGCTTGGTGTGGAGTTCCCAGCACTAAACACTCGGCAGATCCTCAGCTCTTCCTTTAGATCCAATAGGAAGACCAAAATCATTATCCATGGCTACCTCGGTGACCAAAGGATGCTCTGGATGGACGTAAGTAGAGCTTTGGTGATGGTTGGTAGAGATTGTGTTCAAGTGGAACACTTAAGCGGACTACCAAACTGGTTGTATCAAATTTAAATCAAAGAACTAAGAAATAACCTGAAGATTAGACACACTAGCTTATTTCACCTGAAGATTAACTACCTTAATTTGTGTTTGTGTGCGTGCAGGGGGTGGGGTCACTCGGGGTCCGTACACCTTTCCTTTTCACCAGAAAATTTCAATACTTTTCTCTACTGCAGTATTGTACTCAGGCATTTTTGTAAAGTAAAAAGTAATTACTATTTACCTCAGAATATCTCCAAATATCAAGTACATACGGCCTCAAAATGCCCATGATGTTGGTCAGATTTCAAAAAAAAAATTCCAGAGCTTACAGTACCCCTCACACCCCCCCCAACACAAGTGGGTGGACTAGCTGTGCTCACCATGGTCCACCACCCACAACTTCTTGAACCCCCCACCCCCCCCTGATATTCCTGGATCCGCCCCTAGCTTGTGTGTGTGTGTGTACTATATAGTATGTATGTATGTGTGTGTGGGTGGGGATGGGGGGTGGGCCATCAAGTACTATATAATAACATACATGAATTAAGGTCAGTCTCTATAACTTTATATATTAATCTATATTGTGTGTAAGTTCTTCAGGCTTTAATAAATTTTTATCACTGCTTGAAGGACCACATTCTGGGGTGGAACAATGAATAAGACTGATAAAGAACGAGTTACCTTGAGAGTATTGAATATAATAAATATATCCATGGACGGTATCTAACTTTGTGCAGTCATTCAGAATTTCCCATGTTTTTGCAGGCAGAGCTTTTTTTATGGTCGTACTGTACAACACCCTTTTTATAACCATTTATATGACATTGTTTATATCTAACTATATTGTACAGAACATCACTCATATGCAACTGTAATATAGTAATTGGTTTATAATATCAAACTCTGCTTGTCAAAATCTGCATCAAAGTTAAGGACACCATTGTCACCTTGTTCATGTAGGAAAGAATATATATTTATTACAGTATTTTATGTTTCTCTGCTTGCACAGGGTGTTATCCAGTGTGACCCTACCAGACATCATAAATTTGCTCCTGTTACTTTGGCTTCCTCCTGTACTACCACTGGGCACTAAAGAACACAAAGAACAGACCAATCTGAACAGCTATAGTATTTCCACGCTAACCTGGCCCGTAAGCCACACCCCTCTCTTATATTAATAATGTAGCTGATTGGTTCACAGAAAATCCGAATTAAATGTGTTCACAATTGGTAAGCAGACCTGTTATGTAAAATAATGTTAAATATCTGAACTATCAAGATTCAAATGATTTCAAGGCATTAGCACTTCAGAGAGGATGTTAGAAATTTTTAAATATTTATCATAAAATGTCGATATAAATACGCGCTTATGCACGCGCAGTCCAAGGGGAGGTAAAACACTGGGGAACCAATCGTCTTTTAGTCGCTATAGACGAGGGATGTGGCTAATGGTCCAAGTTAGTCTGGGAAGGGTAGTCAGCTGATATGTGGCGGGAATGATAAATGTATATATGGTACTGTAATAGATTTGGTCTTAGGAATATAACTGATTATTTTATACTGTAGTTTTGGAAGCAACTTCTGGAAATTATTTGCAGCTAAGGACTATTTATGCTCAGTGACGAGAAAAAAAAAACACTTGCCTTGGTTGACTGGTTTGGTCTATATTGCTGACTTGTTCCTCGTTACCATCTTTATATTCGTCTTTATGGTCTTGACTTTTGCAGTGATTTTTATGGTTATGAAAGAAATTCAAGATTAATTTTTATTGATTGATTGACCAGACCATTGTAATGACTTACATATGGTAGTCTTTGTGTTTGTATGAAAAAATATTGGAATTATTCTAATTGAAACTTAGCACATAATGCCTAGTGAGAAAGCCTTTCCATACTGCCATTATCTCTTCAAACTTCACGGTGTTGTTTACATTACGGAACTTGTTGTAGTCATAAGATTCTCCGTTCCTAATCGAAGTACAGGTAGTTCCATTGTACAGCATATCTTTGGTGTAATTACTGTACAGTATTTGGAATATCTCTTATTGTTCTCCATTATGGAATTTTTCCTTTATGCTCTGTAACAGTGATTGTTATGCATGAGTGAGATTAACTGTTATGCTCATGCGCCTTCCCATTATGGTGTGCTTGTGTGAATAAGTTATGATATGCCGCCAGTAGTTGGTAATTTAAATGAGCTGCTGATACGAGTAATAAAAATCATTTGGAGTTAACAGTTGAATAATGTGAATGTACTATATTTTAAATGCACCTCAGGATTCTGGGAACAGTTCTTAGAGTTTGCTGTTTTGCAACATGTTCCAGTAGGTCAGGTATCTGATTCTTGCTTGCAATGCTTTGTTCTTGATTCAACAGGACATGGCTCGTGCCTTCCTGAGCACCGGAGACTATAACATAGTGTTAGTGGATTGGACAACTGGGGCACAGGGATTGTATGGACAAGCGGCGGCCAACGCCCGGGTGGTAGGGCTGGAGGTTGCCCACCTGGTCAATTGGCTGAGGAACCAAACTGGACTACAACCTCAAGATGTCCACCTTCTAGGCCATTCCCTCGGGTCCCATATCTGTGGTAGGTCACCTCCTCTACTTCTTTTGTCATGGTTCAGATTAATGTAAGTGAGAACTGACTATAACCATGTTATATATCATAGCCATTACAGGAATACCCTGGTTATCACAAACGATGCATTCCTAAAAGTCATTTTGAATAATGAATTTGCGAATATCGGGGCAATTTTCCCCACAAGAGTTAACGTAATTAGGGCGGATGCATTCACAGCCGGCAATTTTCACCACATATTTTTCAATACAGTACTGTACCAAATACACCAGTTAACCTTCCTACAGAATAACCAAGTTAACATATATATGTATAAACAACCTGGTCCTGCTGATTTACTGCAGGTTATGCTGGTGAGAGGATCAGTGGACTTGGCAGGATCACTGGGCTGGACCCTGCGGAACCTTACTTCCAGCACCTCCCACCCAGCGTCCGACTTGATCCCTCCGATGCTCTCTTCGTGGATGTAATCCACACTGATTCCTCACACTTCTCTCTTGGTATGTGTTGTTGTGAGAGGTCTTAATGTATGGCATTAAGAGAATAAGTGTTCTTCACAGTGTTATCTTCCTACTATGGCTTGCTGATAACAAATATAGGTAAACCTCGATAAACGATGGGGTTAGGTTCCTGAAAACCCATTGTTATGTGAAATATCATAGCAGGGAGCATTATAACGTGGGGTTCAATGAGATAACTAACTTTTACTAATATCTTCTTCGCCACTGATCGGCTCATTAGCCGCTTAGGTGGTCGGTCACGTCTCTGATACACACTGTTGGCCAATACTGGGCATGCACTAGCTCCTGAATATATCGGAACCTGCTCCAGTATCGGTCAAGTCTGGTCTTGAATGAGCTCTCACTTGGTGCAGTCACAACGCTCTCTGGCATATTGTTCCAAAAGTTCACAATTCTCACTCCGACTAAGTTACCCCTCACAGTTTTCTGGACATGTGGCTTTTTTAACCCTGACCTGTGCCCCCTTGTGGGGCGTATGTCCGCCAGCTCCAGATATGTACAGTAGCTAAAACAACTATCTGTGCAGGTGGGGGTCGATATGCTCTGAAATTTTACGTGTGACTAGTGACGGCCCTTATATACCGAAATTTATCGTCCATGGTCTCATATTGTTTCCCACAAAGTATGCACAGATAGTTGTTTTAGCTACTGTACATTCGACCGAGTAGTGCCCCCTGAGATGTTTATACGCTTCGATTAGGTCACCCCTTGCCCGTCTGTAGTATAAGCTAGGTTGTTGCAGGCGCTCCAATCTTTCTGGGTAACTGAGGTTCCTTAGAGCAGACACCAGTCTGGTGGTCCTCCTCTGGACATTTTCAATCAATTGACAGTCTCTAGCATACCTCGGGAGCCAAACGGGGTGACAGTACTCCAGACGGGGAGGCACACTCCCAGCCAGTCCGCAAATACACGTATGTCACTGATAAAAAAATTCCTACACTATAAAATCAATAGAAAACAATTAAACAACACTCCCCACATCATGAAGAATAAGCCTGGTCATCATCACATGTCCCTTGTGAGGATAAGGGGACTCTTGTAGGTGGAGTGGAGGTGTTACTTTTAACTCCCACACAGCCTCTGGGGAGTCTCATGCCACTTCGCAATGTCAAGCTTCACCTCAGAGACACGGTTGTCTTGGATGCCTTGGCCTTCCCAGAAATGTTCAAAGTTACACTGCTCACTTCAGTCACAAAAACAGAGCAAACGATGATAACATAAAAACAATGATAGTGGCCGACACTGATCACATCATTTTCACAACAAAAGGGGCAAAGCACTTAAGTATAAAAAATAAAAAATAAATCACTTCACAGTCACTGTAACATAGCTCACTCTAATTGCTAGTGCTGTCCTCTCACTACGATATAAGAAAAAACCCACCAGTGCTAAGTACATTGTACACTCGGTAAAATATGTATCTTTCAGGGGGGGTCTGATGAATTTGGAACTGCACAATCCTGTTGTCTCGCTAGGGTTGGTAGGCATGATTGTGAGACATTTCCTACCTGTTATGGTAGGCCTAATTTAGTTATTTCCTTCCATATATAAAATAAGTTCATTGCATTATGATTGGTGAATAACAGTATGCCTCATGAGCTTTTATCAAAAACCTTAATTCTTGGTGTCATTTTGTTTCACAAGAATTGTAAAGATACTTTTCTTTTACCGAGTACGTACAGCCAACTATGCTGAACGATAATCATGAAGCTACACGATGGCGGGGAGATGCGATTGACAAAGTACCAAGAGCAGGATTGTAGTGCATGGGTTGGCCGTGTTGCGGTGCGTGGGTAGATATTACTGTGGCTGACAAATGCAACCAGAGATGTTTACCTATGGAGGGTGCTTAGGGTTAAATATTGTTTCCTTATAAAATGTCACAGACTTGACTTAGAAAAATGTAATTTACATTGCTGAAATCCTTGCAAGACAGTAATAATTTGAGTATGTACAGCCCATGGTTTGCACTAGAGATTAAAATAAAAAATCCAACCAATGAATACTGATGGATATTGTCAGAGCGAATTTTTTTGATTGTATATAACAAGATGGTCTTAATTCATGACCATCGTTAAAGAAGAATATCGCTGAGCGAGACATCGTTTATCGAGCTTTACCTGTATAGGAGTTTCTTCTTCTTTTCATGCCTTGTTTCTCTGGCATGAACAACTGTTGAGTGAAGTGTTAAGAGAATGAATAATATAGTTGACAATCAACAAATTATTTTCAACATTTACCCTCCCAGACGAAGAGCTTTGATTGGTTAATTTACTGTATTAGGGATGTTAATTCCACACATGTACAATATATAAAAGACAAGACTTGTGGTGATAATTTCCTGAAACCATTTTTGGAAGGAATTGGAAGATTCTAGTTAATGTTGAAGCCCTACTCTTCTGTATGGCAGAACATGATAGATCATAACATATTTTTAAATGAAGTGTTTGTTTCCACACATTTCAGGTCTAGACCTAGTTTTTTCCCAGTAATGTTGTCATGGGGGAGTTAATGTTGTTGAACACGTAGACAACAAATATAAACGAGTGGAACGTTCATGTTTGCAAACAAGTGATGTCATATAAATTAGGATTGTGGGCAAAAGGCAGCAACACTTGTTCTTTTGGCGAGTTGGAACCGAGTAAATTACTAGATATCATTGAATTTCTACAACCCATCATGCAGGTTGGTGTATTACAGGAATGGTTAATTAAAAAATTAGTACAGTACTGCTTAATGTCTTTTTCTTTTCAGCCTCTTACATGTGTTTATACATGTTCTTTACAGTACAGTACTATTCTTTACTTTATCCCCTATGTCACAGGTTGGCTCTCTTGCAGTCAGTGATTGTGATTTTTTCTTTCTCTTAAAATGTCAACAACAGTCTATTCATCAAAATCTTTCATGCTGGTGGTCAGGCTGTTAAATAAAAATATACGTACATTATATGCAATTCTATTTCCTTTGGAAGAGGGATGTAAAGTAGAGATATAATTCTTATAAAGAAAGTACAGTACTGTATACTGTAGTTTCTTAATCCTTATTCCATTCCAGTTGGAGGTACTGCTCTTCAGAATCAACAGACTTTTAATTGGACCAAAAAAAAAAGGAGAGACTTCTCTTTATTCATTTGTCTTTCTTTCCTTCAAGCTTCTTCAAGGCAGTGTGTGTGTGTGAGAGGAGTTCACCGCCATGTGACTTTACCAAACATCACAGGTTGTCTTTGGGTACTCCGGTTTCCTCCTGTACTCTACTAACATTGGACAATAAAGGTCCTACCAAATCAACAGAGAAGACCATCTGCCTGAAATGCTTGTAATCTGATTAGTGATGAAATTATAAATTAATATATTGTAGTGTAACTCATTTCACTATGCAGCAAAATATAAAATGGTATATTGATTGACAGGTGGTGGGTATGGGCTGCGTGAGCCAGTTGGTCACCTCGACTTCTACCCCAATGGTGGCTATAACCAGCCAGGGTGTCTGCCCTCCATTGATGCCCCCATCAAGCTTCTCTTCGACAATAAAATCTCATCCAACTGTGAGTGATGATTTATGTTCTTTCGTGTAAACAACTAATTTACTCACGCCTTAGTCAACCCACCAAGGATCCCTTAGTCTATACAGCTTGAAGTTGTGGAAAGTTTCAGTGATAGAATTATTTGGAAGTTATTGTACCATGTGGCCACACATCATATGCAGGAGGGCATAACCTAAAGTGATAAGAAACTAGGAGCTAGATTGATGAATTAATACATGACAACATATACAGTATGTAGAATGATTCCTGAAAGAGTACTGTATTAAGGTCCATTAAGAACCATCACACTCATCACCATCTTTAACTGTTTACATTCTATTCATAAGTCTACAGTCATCACTAAAACATCTTCATTCTTAATTTCTTTGAATTTGCTTTGTTTCCATATGCAATTTAAAAAGAAAGCAAATGGTTTGTGTCAGAGCTCAAGATTCAAGTATGTATTAGACATGATTTGTTTTGTAAAAACTTGTTTATTCATTTCAGGGTGGCACTCTGTTGGGAACTCAATCGGCTGTAACCACCTCCGTGCCACCACACTCTTTATGGACTCCATCGTCTCAGAGTGTCCATACTTGGCCTTCCAATGTGACTCCTTCAAACACTACAGGACTGTATGTACTGCCATACTCAATACAACTTTTCACAGAATTTAAAATTAAATTTTTTGGGGGGGTGTTGATTCATTTGTATTTATGCTGTACAATGTGCAGTTAACAAAATACATTGTCGCATCGCTTTCTGTACTTTTCATTCTGGAACACAGGATGAAATGTTTAGTTAACACAGGTGTGCTGAAGTGTTGGGAAGGGCAGATCCGTTTTTTTTTGGGGGGGGGGGGGTCCTGGGGTTCTGGACCCCTCCCTTTTCATCAAAAAATTCTAATACCTTTTCTTTAATGCAGTGTTGTACTCGGGCATTTTTGTACAGTAAAAAATAATTACAAGGGTAATATTGACCTCAGAATATCGCCATGTTTCCCCATCCAAAACATCTTGGAACACCCTCCTTTTGCTATTCCTGAATCCATCCCTGGTTGGTATGCCTGCTCTACGTACCAGATACCTCCTCCTGAGAGAGGTAAGAGTTGTCTCATGAAGCGATTCGTTTGTATGTACTGTATTCTAGTGGGAGTTTTTAGCATGTTTCACACAGAATATTACTTCTGTACGTATCTCTGGATTATAACAATGTTTACTCGTGAATGGGGCAAAAGCATGGCATTTCATACCGATCTTTTAATTTGATGTCAGCCAGATGTCAGACATTTAAGCACCTCTTAAGGTGCATCCACGCGTGCTGGAAACATTGTTGGGAATAATGCTGCATACATGTTGGGCAAAGCATCATGCCCAAAAACATGATCACAGCAATGTTAGTATCAATGTTGGCAAATGTATGGGATTAAGGCCTCATCCACACCACTACTGACACTGCTACCAACATGGTGATTACCATTGTTACCAAAATACAGTATGTGGGAAACTAGTATTGCTAACATGCCAGTCACCTTGTTCATGACATTATTGTTAAGACTGTTGCCAACACATGTTTTTGGCACATGTGAAATCACCGTCACTCATACACCATACTACTTATAAAACATGTTTTGTATATACAGTACTTAAAGTAAGGGAATGTTGGATATGAATAAAAAAACATTAATAATGTACCAATGTAAGAGACGCATTCCAAACCACAGGTAAAATTGACATATTTTCTGGGTATAAATATATACATACTGTACCTGTACAGTATATAGTTATTGGTAATCCTTAAAACATAGCTACTGAAATAATAATAATCCTTAAGACTCATAACTGTACAAACATTATTCAATTTGTCTTAAATTTTAAGGTCTCTCTCCTCATACTGAACTTTCTTGAAGGATCACTAAATTCTGACTTGGGTGTAAATTTGGGTTTCAGAATCATTCCACCATTAGTGTAGTTGGTCTTCCAGAATATTCAGTTCTCCTTTATAGTACAGCACTGTACATATGCAGTACATTTAGCAGTAACTTGGTCTTATTATGGTCTGGCTTTCAATTTGTCTTAAAAATCAGGTATATCTGCAATGTAAAGAGAATATTCATAATCACTAATTTGATCAAACTATATGTACAGATTTTGAGAAAATTTTTTACTGTATTATGTAGTTATAAAGATAAATAGAAAACCTCAAGTTTGCACAGCTTAAGAGTTTAGTTAAGAGAAGATTTTACTGTAGTGCTGCATATTGTAAACCCATTATTTGTACACTTCACCTCTGCTCATTATTACTACATTGATCATCTGTAATGTGCACGTAATGAAGTGTGAGTTTCTGGGTGTTATGGACAGGGAAACTGCTTCAGCTGTGGGGAGGATGGCAGCAGGTGTGCTCCTATGGGTCTGCACGCTGACACCTGGCCAGGACGAGGACAAACTGGTCTCTTGCTCTATGTTGCTACTGGTCCAAGTGACACCCTTTGCAGTGAGTATTGCTCCTGTGATGGACATTTTATTATTTAATCTGTATGTCTCTATATTATTTTTTTATCCAGCAATCTCTGTACTGTACTATATTTTTCATTATTTTGACTATGTACTCCTTTTGCAATTTTAACCTCTGTGGATCACCTGAAGCTTAGCCCCTCCCATAGATATATTCAGGATGGTAAAACTTCAGGCTGGTTAAGCTGGATGGCGAAACTTCATGTGAGCACTGGGTGGGCTAACCTTCAGGTGATCCGTTAAGACTAAAATTTTGAATTGTCTCGAGTCGGACTCTCGACTATGTCACTGGTGCTGATAATATTTATTGGGGCTAGGACCCAGGAACCCAGCATTAGTGTGGCTTGAACCTTACAATTAGTTACCTTCTTGTCATATGCTGGGTCTTAAAAACTAATACACTTCAAACAGAAGTTGCCCTTGTGGACAAAAGAGAACATGGAGGCTCGTAGTCATGGCATCACACTGGTGACTTGCTAAATCAAACCAGGTCAGCCATCTTAGATGGATTCTAGTACCATTCATTCTTCATTTGATCATCTCCAGCTTCACCACCACCCTGCATGGTTCTTGGTTATTTCACTCTACCTGCTGTTGAACCTAAGGTCTATTTCCTTCACATTATGTTAGTTGTTGGGCTGGTGTCATACAGACATTAATATTAGTGTCGGTATACAGATGTCTAGTGAGCATCCCAACACTGTACAATACAGTATTATGGTACTTTAGCCCTTCATATAATAATCCTTCTAGTTCCACCCATAATAGGAGTAAGTTTCTTGTGTTCAGAAGTGGCACATATTGGGACCCTCCATAATTGGTGAAGTTGGGATTGGACCATCCATTGAGAGCAATAGACATTTTTGGCTCATTTACCCAAAAGTCTCGAGCTACAGCTTCCTACCACAGCAATGGTTATGGACCCAGCTCCAAGGAGTCACTTATCCAGGCTGCACCAGCAGTTTTCCCCAGGGAATATCTGCATTTCCTTAATTGCTCATATTAGTCCCAGTGATATTTTAGCTTGGTTTCTCCTGAATCATGGGCTTTCATGAGAGGTTTGCATAGTTAATTCCTTTATAATTTTTAGACATGTCTTTTGCTCAGAATGTCTTCAGTAATGTAGTTATCATTTGAGGTAATAGGGTTGCCAGAATGGGAACAGTGATGTAAAGTCCTGTCATGATATTTTCTCTGCTTGTTCACTGTCAGTACATTATTATGATTATACTGTACTGTACTAATTTGTACTCTTGAGTGCTCGATATAGTCCATTGATATTCAGTGTCTGTGGCTCGAAACCGAAGCCAGTCATTTGAAAACTCATGAAGCTGAAATTGAAGCCAAGGTTGTTCAAGGCTACACTAGGGACTTTTTTTTAACATAAACAAGTATACTGTACTAGTGGGCCAGCCCTTGAATTTGGCCCACTAATTGCATTCTATCGGCCTACTAGTCACTTCATATGTGAAACACTACAATAGAAAGAAATACTGTACTGTGATTTTTGGTGGGGACTTTATTCTTGATGAATTTTTAGGCCTCTTGCAAATTTTATGCCCTTTATGAATAAATGAATTGAAATTTAACTGTTCTACAGTGTACCATTACCGGCTGCAGATGAAGCTAGGAGAGATGACAACAGCCAGTGTGGTGGGCACCATCAACTTGTCCCTCCTTTCCCACACTGGACAACAGTGGTACTTCAACCTCACTGCTGGGTATGTTTCTTATCCATTGCAACTTCTGCTGAAATTTACCATTATTGATACATTTGGTCTCTTGGTCAATATGTGCTGAAGACTTGGAGATCATCAAACCTTTAGTTTAATCACTTAGTTAAAGTAGGTTTTTGACTCTAGAACTTGGACAGTAAACAACAAAATTTCTTCCTGTGAATTTCTTTTGGGATTACCAAATTCATCCATTCATTTTCTCCATCCTTAGGTCCCCCACAAAGTTTGATTCTGGGAAGACATACACCTTCCTGCTGCAACACAGTGATGACCTGAGTTCAAGCCAGGCTGCCCAACTTACCTGGTCCGCAAGCAGTGGTGATCACTCCTGCCACCACACCTGTGACACCAGCCTCCCATTGTCCACACTCTCACTCCTCAATGTGGAGAAGTTTGTTCAAAGGTGAGTAGGGAGGAGAAAGAAACAAACACTTGAAATATTAGAAAAGAATATGGAAATATGCATTATATGTCTATGATTATTTTTTGCCCTAGGTGAGGCAACTGATATAGTCACAGCTTGTTTGTTTACTTCATCCATCTATCATGAGAAGTAACCAAACCAACTGCAGTGTTTTCTTCTTTATCTTGATTATTTTTACTCATCAATTAATGTTGATTAAAATAATTTGTGCCTCAAGATGCCAAATTTATATTTACATTACCACAGAAGGAATCTCCACCCTGCAATGGTACCTGTGTTTAGCAGATACAGGTATACGTATTCGTGCACAGTGCATCGTACCAGATGACTACGCTCATCCTCCCAGGTGTAGCTCCCTTTTACTTTTATCCTCTTCACCACTGATCGGCTCGTTAGCCGCTTGGGCGATCGGTCACGTCTCTGTTACGCACTGTTGGCAAGTACTGGGCATGCACTGGCTCCTGAATGTACCTGAACCTGCTCCAGTGTTGGTCAAGTCATGTCTTGATAGAGCTCACACTCGGTGCCGTCACAACACTTTCTGGTAGATTGTTCCAAGAGTTCACAACTCTTACTGTGAAAAAGATTGCCCTCACAGTTTTCTGGATTTGCGGCTTCTTCAAATCTTCGCTGTGACCCCTTGTGGGGCGAGCGTCCGCCAGCTCCAAGTAAAGACACTCGACTGAGTAGTGCCCCTTGAGATGCTTATACACCTCTATTAGGTCACCCCTTGCCCGTCTGTAGTATAAGCTAGGCAAGTTCAGGTTCTCCAATCTCTCAGGGTAGCTAAGGTGCCGAAGGGCAGGCATCAGTCTGGTGGCCCTCCTTTGAACATTTTCAACCAGCATATCTCGGGGACCAGACAGGGTGACAGTACTCCAGACGGGGAAGCACTTCACTCTTGAAGAGTGTTACGAGGGACGGACCGTCTCGATATCTGAACGACCTTCTTATAAGACCCAATAATTTATTTGCCTAATTTGCCTTCTTCGAGCAATGGCCCGAGAACTTCAGCTCATTGTCAACATACACACCTAGGTCCTTCTCACATTGTCTCAAATAGAGAAGTTATAGCTACATGTACATGTTTTATGGGCTATTGAGCGTAATATGAATGGTTTGATTTTATGATAACTAACATGTACAGTCGGGGTCAAAACTCTTGAACACTGAGCAATATCTGGCATCTACTTCTGAGTTATATATATATATATATATATATATATATATATATATATATATATATATATATATATATATATATATATATATATATATATATATATATATATATATATATATATATATATATACGTATATATAATTGAGATATACTAATAACACTACTTGTCATCACATTTTATGCCTGAACCACAAAATGGGATAAAACTCTCCTTAATACCTATGATCTTTGGGTACTTGCATGCCAAATACTATCAAGTGTTCAAGACTTTTGACCCTGACTGTACAACCGTGGTCAATACACTAGTGTATTCTTAGTTTGCATTGACATTACAACTCCCATACGGGTAATCCTTTGCGCGGTCCGCCATCTTGTAGGTATAGACACGTTGCATTATGGGAGTATGAGACATCATGTAAAAACTAAGAATTGGAGTATGTAGTAGTACAGTAGAAGTATTAATTAAGCAAATGAGACACTGTTCATGTACAGTATTTCTACAGGACTTACTGGTTTTGTCTTGGAGTGCACTTGTACCAAAATGTTGCTAACAATACCTTCACAGAACTGCATTATTTGATGAAATTTACACTTAATTATCTGTCAATGCATATACTGTAGTCTGTAAGTTCAGTCAGGAGTTTTGCAGTGGTCACTATGTGTTTTCTTTGGTTAAAGAGCTTGTGTAAATCTTATTTATAAAGAAAATCATATGACTTGTAATGATGAAATTGGTACAGAATTCTAATAAACTGTAGATATATCAAGTCCCGCTATTTGATGCAATAACTACCCTGAAGATAGGTTGATAATTATTGCAAATATTAATGAAATGATTTTGAAAACACTGTACATAAAATGTATTAGTTTGTGTACACGGTCAAAGTAATTTCAAAGTCTGTTTTCCTGCTTTTTCTTGACAGAAAGAGAATTAGTCAGCCGAGTTTGGAGACAAAAGAGTTGGTGCTGTGCCATGGTGGGACAACAGGTGTCATTCAGGTCAGCAGTGGGAACACCGTCCACCTAGTAGCCTCACCCACCTGCTCCACACCGTAATACAGCAACTTCATCCAACAGTTGACAGCAAGGACATAAATCTCTTTATTATTAGTTTCAAAACACAAATTAGACATTAATTAAGTGTATCAAATTTACTTGAGATGCAGCAGCAGAAATTCTGTACATTTACTGCACAAAAAATAAGATAATTCTGTTTTTGACTATGAGTTGAAGGTGAAGATTGGTTTCTTAAAGTGGAAGATGTTTTCTTCAAATAATTTCAAATGTGAGTTGACAGAGTAACAATGCTCCACATTTTTATGTAATAAGCCTATGACTGTGGATATGATCAATCCATATGATTTGTACATATTAATGCAGTGGCATGAAAGACAAATAATACAATCGTCATCATCATCATCATCATCATTATCATTGTTTTATAGCCATTTTCCATACTTGTGTGAATAGCTGAGTTCACTTAGTGGTAGCTCTCCAGGCTGCCTGGTCTCTTGCAATTTCTCTAGTCAAGTGCTTGTCCTCGAGATGATGTCTCACTTCTACCCATGTCAGTCTTAGCTTATCCCTCGTGTTCCTCCTCTCCACATTCTAAGTCCTGCCTCTCTTGACCTAATTGTGACTCTGAATAGGGTTTCTATCCCTGAACATCACTTTACTCCCATCTCATGATGGGATTTTAAGATCAAACCTTTATTTTGTTACATTTAATACCACTATGTCATTCACTCATTGTGTTTTGCAAATAAAATCATTTTTAACCTTACACTCATTTGAATTATAAGCCATTAACTTTTTTACTTTTATCCTCTTCACCAGATATCTTAGTGCTTAGTGAAGTAGAAGCCATGAATATAGTGGTAGAGCCTGTGTGCACATAATATACAGTAGGTGGTGCTTACTAACGAGAGACTGACACAAAACTTTCAGAACTATCTGTATCCGTAAGAGCTCTGACTTGTCTCCCGTTTGCTTTGATCATGACAGTAGCTTTCGAGAGACTTCCTTAAGATGCGGCAGTCATTCCAGCTAGAGTGGGAGATTGAAGAGCAGCAGATGTTGATGATTTTGCTGACCCATCTTGCCACACTTGTTGCAGGTAGGTTTGCGTGCTAGACAGTTCTGGTGGGAATGTCTGCTGTATACACACAAGAAACATTTTTGCCCTTTTTGGACAGCAGCTGACATATGACAGGTGTCTTTATTTAATCTGTTATTACTTGTAGCGGATACTGTATCATCAATCGAACATGTGGCTGTTGCATTGAAGGTTGTCTGTGGTGTAGCGTAAGACTCTGAGCTCTTTTGTGTTTGATCAAGAGCTCTTGCTTGAACAAATGCTGTTGAAAGATCAAGAGTCTTGTTCTCTAGAGGTCTCTGGGGAATAACATTCGACAGCAAACTGCTAATGAAAGCATCACGAATTGCTTCCTCTCTACACTTCTCACAACTGACCGCCTTATAATTGCAGTCTCCACCTAGGTGTTTCAGTGTCTGCAAAAATTCATCCAATGTCTCTCCTGATTGTTGTCGACAGGTAGCCTAGTAGATGTCTGGCCTAGACTTCAGTTTTAGGTTTTACGTACATGTTTTGCAAAGTCTCTGTAGCACTTTCATATGTGGCACAGTCAGAAATATACTCATACACAGACAGAAGGAGCAATGAAGTTAGTAAGCACATTCAGCTTGTTAGGAGAGTGTTGCTGGATGGCTGCAAGAAAGTTGTCAAACGTCTTGTACCAGTGCTTCCACTCCTTCCCTGCTGTGCTGGAATTTGGGTTGGCAAATAAAGCACTGCTAAATCCCACCACTTTGATGCTAGGTGAACAGGGACCAAGGGGACTAGGAAGAGTGTCCAAACAACTTCCGCCGGCCCGGGAATCGAACCCGTGATACAGTGCCGGATTTAGACCTGTGGAGGCCCATGGGCAGCTTCTTTGTGGAGGCCCCCCTCATTATAACTACCCAAGAGGGTGGGATGGCGAGTGAAGCGAGTCTAAACATCTGTAAGCCCCCCGGGAAAATTTTGAAATTTGAACACTTCTTTGGAGAATTTTGAAGCCATATGCAGTTATATTGAGGAAATTAGAACATTGAAATTTTTTTTATTAACTGTATATTTATTGATAGTGTACAAATTCCCAACACACACACACACACACAAAAGTGAGACATGACTGGAGTCATTCATGTGGTTTCAAGTCGACCAGCCCTGATATGTGGAGGTCCCCAGATTGTGGAGGCCCCTGGGCAGCTGCCCACTTTGCCCACTCCTGAATCCGGCCCTGCCGTGACATCTTGCTTGCAAGGCAAGAACGGTACCGCTCTACCACCAGCTCCCCGCGAAGACGGAGATAAGGAGCGATGCGTGAGTAGGGGTCAGACAGTGTCACCTCAGACTCCGCCAAAAGTAAACAAGACACGGCGAAACTTGTGACTGAGCGAATTTATTTATTTTTATCATTCTCTATTTATCAGCTTACTCGCCGTTTGGCCGGTCTATCCAGTGTTAGTACAGGATTAAACCAAGGACCGGGAAACCTGTGATGTTTGGAAGGGTCACACTGGATAACGCCCTTCTCACGTGTGTCTGGATGACGGAAGCCCTCAGGAAAAAAATATCGCGTCCGGGCCGGGGCTCAGACCCTTGACATTGGTGAGTGTTATGCGCGTTACCGCTGTAATATATCAATTATCTTTAATTACCGGTGGAAAGAAAGACCGGTGTAAGTCTATAAATTCACCAAAATTACGAATAGATTTCTCTCCTTGGACAAATACGAGTTATCGGAGGTCAGTTCCCAGTGGCGTTTCTAGCCTTCGGAAAGTGGGGGGGCCACTTTGGGGCCAAGGTAAATGTTGGGGGGGAGGGGGGCAAAACCAAACCTGTGTACAACTTGCAAGATGCAGTTTTTGGCATTATTACACCAATTTGATTGACAAATGTGAAGTGACGTCTCATGACGCCAGCCTAAAATAATCAGCATATGGCGGTATAATGGCAACGCTCTTTTTCCACTAATCATGATTCATTGGAGTATTGACACACTTGAACATATCTCTAAAACTGTATTATTGCTCACATAGTCACATAAAGGGCGGGTGTACCACATAACAAACATTGAAAAATATAGCAGTGTCTTTACAAGGTATGTACATACATCAGAGAAAAAATGAATGATCTCACGCTTCACACATAAGGGAGACAACGTTTACGTTTTCAGACATGGGCGCTGCATGCAACTGTTACATTATACCCAATGGCAAATGGCAATGGTGCGGTTTAAGTTCACACAGTACGTACTGTGACGGTAGCAGTATATTCAGTGCAGCTTAATCATACGATTGGCTGCCAAACTCGTCGACAAAACAATCTAAATCAATTCCCTCAGCGCGTGCACTTTCAATCGATATTAGCGCGATGTTACTCAGTCTGTCACTGGACATGGAATTTCTTAGGAATGTTTTCACTTCTATCATTTTCGAAAAGCTTCTCTCGCATGAAGCACTGGTAACAGGGAGAGTTACAGCTATCAACAGTAATTTATACAAACAGTCAAATGCAGCCTTGTAAGGGCATATAAATGACATAAATTGCACGAGCGATGAAGGTTGTTTATGTTCCTTCAAGCCCTATTTCTTCACCAGAGGTAATAAGGAAGAATATTAAGATGGTGACAATTCAGCGAAGTGATAATGTGAGGCTGTTGATTGCTCCAGCAACATTTGCAGCAGCTTCATTATTACTCTGGTTCCTCTTTGTCAGTAGACCTGCATTGAAAAGTGGCCTCAGACCGGTATGTACACTAGTGTTAGTCAGTACAGTACAGTACAGTACAGCACAGCATGACTTGCCTTGTTTTATGTTGTATAAAAGTAATTCCTCTTTACTGTGCCTGCAGTATTAAATTCCTCTGCAGAGACCATTTATTTTAAACTATGTTTATTAACTCAAAAGCATAATGTGTCATATACTGTACAGTATATTATCACGTCAAGATGCCCTTGCTATCAGCTTTACCCACATAGAGTACAGTACAATTCTGTATTATAATTTCAGAAAACCATGAGCCTCCCTTCTTGACCTTACTGTACTGGTGCCTAGCAACATGTTTTCAACTGGACTCAGCCTGGGCAGTCCACTCACAGCATCGTATAAATTCATACAGGTTTTGTACGCAAAAGTACATCTACCCCACGTGTATGTAACAAGGCAGTGTATAATTTTTTGTTAAGTAAAATTAACAGATCATTGTGGTGAAATATATGACAAATTTACCACCGTCTCATCATGGACAGTGCAGTATTCCCAAAGGGTAGAGGTACAGTAGGTTCCACCCAGACAGTCACTCTTCACCATGCCACAGTCCAGTGAACTAAAGTATCATGTTGTCTTTCCAAGGATCCTTGGAAAGAATCCAGAGGAGAATGACAAGACTAATCCCAGGCATTAGGAACCTTGAGTACAGAGATAGGTAAAAGCATCTTAATTTGAACTCCCTCGAGAGACGTAGAGCGACATGATAGAGGTGTATAAATGGAAGTCAGGGCTAAACAAAGGTGACATTTCAAAGGTACTCAAACTATCCAACCAGGAGCGAACTCCTAACAATGGTTTTAAATTAGACAAATTTAGATTAAGGCGCAAAATAGGTAAACACTGGTTTGGAAACAGTAGTGGATGAATGGAACAAGTTACCAAATATCACCATTAACTCGAATATGCTGGAAAGCTTCAAACATAGGTTGGATGCTTATTTGAGCAATAGGGGATGGGTATAAACGGGACTGCCCAGTATGGGCCAATAGGCCCTCTGCAGTTTCCTCCATTCTTATGTTCTTATCTCACGTTGTAAATCGCCCATTGCCTGAGTCACTTGACTCACTTCCTGGTTTTGGGAATGTTTTTGGAATTACAATTTTGAGAATAAAAAGTGGGGGCATGGTCCCCCCCCAGTCGAATCGCCCCTGTCAGTTCCGCGCCTAATTAGCTGCTCTCAGCCAATGCCTACGGTGTGACAAGCTGTTCAATGACGCTTGGTTAGATTAGGTTAATTTTTTATATACTTAGATGTGGTTTATTCAAATCTGACCTTCATTTCTTGTACAAATGAATGAATTTGTTTTTTTTTTTACAAAATAAGTTCATTTGCCATCAAAATGTAGGTCAGATTTGAGCAAAACACATATAAATAAACCAAAAAATATATGGTTACATAAGTATTGATATCATCATTACCCTTAAGAATCGGCTCGAAAGTATTTGGGTTCTATTACTTTTCTTGGTTGGTAAAGTGATTGTAGAAATATCTTGCAACCTTTACTAAGGGAGGCCTTATGTAGAGTTATTAAGGTATTACTGGCAAAGAACAGTGACAAAATTTACACAATTTAATTTAATTAATAATATTTTATACTAATTTTATCAATTTTATAGCGTTTCAAAAATAAATTTAAGGTAAACTATTCCCTTGTGTAAACCCCGACAGGGAGCATTGCCATACTCTCTACCATGTAAACACAGCAGCTGTGTGATCTGAGGAAAATTGGTTTGTATAACTGTAATATATTGTCAGGATTCATTTGTGTATTAATGTGAAGGAGAAGTGTGCAGGGATTATGGTGTTATAAGACAGAGAGAGTCTTATAACTGTTGTCTGCCTCTCACCCAACACTGCATCTCTCTCGCGTCTCCATAAATCATGACGCGCATGAGTACCCATACATATCACGCGGCCAATCAAAAACGTTTTTGCTAATTCAGAG